AACCTGTCAGCTAATACATTAGCAGTTATCTTACAACAGTTAGCAATAGAATTTTCTATCATAGATAATACTCCTTCAATTTCTCCAACAATCTTACCAATGACAATTACTTCCTTTAAGTTTAATGTGTCATTCCTTACTAATTCTTTTCTAAATTGAATTAAACATCCAAGCCAAAATACCTCATTCCCTTGACAATTTACTTTTTTAATTAGTTGACGACAAAGCTCTAAATTCATTTTATAAACACTATCTTCTTTTAAAATTTTTATCACTTCATCAAATCGTTTTTCCTTGACAGCAGTTTCCAATTGATACTTTTGTGAAATAAACATTTCTTTAGTCTTAGGAGTAATATCTTCATTTCTAATTTGATAAGTATCTCTGACAAGCATTTCTTTTAATAATAATTGGTCAGGGTCAATTTTTTTTGTCTTAAGAGGCAAGTCTTCTTTGCTCTCTTTTGTAATTTGTTCTGATTTAATTCCTTTGAGTTGATTCCAATATGTTTTGGTAACATTTCCTTCAACATTAACAATATCACCAGAAACATTCCATACCCAATTTCCATTTTTATTAGTTATAATGATCTTTCCTTTGTAACTCTCGTTAATGATACGGATGATTATTTTCATATGACTTCTTGAAATAATTTGAATCAATAATGCTGAAGTTTCAAATGAAGAACCAAAACAAAACCCTTTTATTGTTTGTTTTCCTTTATTCCATGGGCAAATTCCTTTTCTCCATTTAACACAACACTCATTTTTACATACCGTTTTAAAGTGTATTCTTCGAATACAAACCTCATATTTAGTATATAACCCCATTCAGTTTAATATACCTGCTTCACTTTTTGAAGACTATAATTTCTTTTTCAATACGTTTTTGGTACTTTAATATCATTGTCTTTTCATTTCATTCTTTTTTGTGTTTGTCTTTTCTTATGACTTTATTTCATTTTTGAGTTACTAGACATAAAAATTATTTGTTGTTAAAATAAATAAGAGTATTAAAAAGAACTTGAAAATTCTTCATCTTAAAAAGAAAGATAAGCAAACAATGATTTCAAAACTAGGTGAGTTGTTAAAACCCAAAAATTCAAGTAGTTCATTATTGGAAACACTAAAACTACAACTTGATTTATTTTATAAGACAGTAGAAAATAAAAATGAAAATGGATATGTTTGTATTAACTGTACACAAGTAGTATTTCTCAATACAATTTGTGCCCCACAAACTATAGACCCAACTCTTTCTATGATGTTATCTCAAATATCTAAATTATCAATTGGGGATGATGATGATAAACCAAAAGAAATAGAAGGTACTATTTTAGAATTATCATTTCTTGAAAAGACAAATGTCTCTTCACTTGAAATAACAACAAAACAACCTTGGCATCTTCCAAATACTCTTCAATGTCGTTTAAAAGAACTTAAAGTTTGGAATATGACTAAGTCCCAATCAGATAATTTTTTCAATATACTCAAAAAACGAGAAGAAGTATGGGAGAATTTAGAAGTTCTAAAATTATCAAATTGTGAAATTACAAAAATCCCAGAAGATGTTTTTAGTGCATTAACAGTTCCACACCTCAAAATACTTGATTTATCAAAAAACCAAATTGCGGTATTAGAAAATATTAGAGAAAGACCAATGGATTTGATTGATGTGAGTACAAATGTAATAGAATTCATTGATATTCAATTTGTTGGTTCAATCTCACAATTAGTTATTGATAATAATTTATTAACCTCATTGGATGGATGTCGTCCATTTTTTAATCTTCAAAGATTAAGTGTAAGAAATAATTTGATTGAATCTTTTCAAAATATGAAACGTGCGTTCAGTAAACTTTTCTCATTGACAGATATTCATTTAGAAGGAAATCCTGTTGTAGAGGACGAACATTTCATTGACAAAATTGCAGAATTACTTCCTTCAAGCCAATTTGGAATAGACAGTTATGTAAATGGTAATAAGGTAGATTTAAATCCACATAAATATGTCAATACTTCTAATACAACAAAACCAAGTGATCAAAGTGTTCATGTTGAACGTAAAAATATTGGTCTTTCATTATTAGATGATGAAGCATTATTAGAAGTTATTAAAGAAAAAGTTGAATTATTTAGAAAAGGCAGTTGGGATTATACAGAAGACGAGTATAAATCAAGTCGTAGTTTCTTGAGAGAAGTAGGAGAAAAAATTAATCAAGCGTTAATTGAAACAGAATATTCATTAGTTCCTGATGTAGAAGTATTTCCTTATTCTACTGTCAAAAAGGAATTGTGTAGTTCATTACTTCAAACAGCGTACTGCAGAAAAGAAAAAAGATGTTTTGTACAAGTAAGTGGAGTAAATGAAAGCCAAATGGAGATGGTTGTAAAAATCCCTATTGTTTCATCAAATGCAATTCAAAAAGCACTTCAACATATTGTTCAACTCTCAAAAGATTTAGAAAATGAAGAAACAAGTATAGAATTAAATAATAATTTATTTGGTGTAGAAATAAATGTAGCAGAATTAGTTAAGAATGTTGAGAAAGAACGTAAAGAGTTAAAAGATTTAGAAACAAATAAAATTAAAGAAGAACTAGGATGGGAACCTCAGCAAGAAACAACTCAAGATAATTATCCAAACGAAAATGCTGAACAAACAATGGTTGAATAACACTTTATTTTTTTTAGTAAACCTTTTTGTTTTATTATTTATGAGAAGAGAAAATGAAGAGAACTTACATTTAATAAAAATGAATAATTCTTTTAAGGAAGTAGTAAAACAAATGCATTTAAACAACGTTCAAACACTGAATGTTGAAATTACTAAAAACCTTGATTTACTTGTTCCTTTATTACAGTCTCTTGAAAAAGAAAAACAAAGGTACTTAGAAGATATTGGTTCACTTGCTGGGTTTAAAGTGCCTCAAGTTCCTGAAGAAATAAAGAAATGGGTTAAAATGATGAAAGAAATAAAAAATACAAAAGAAGAACAAAAACAACAGAAACAGCACCACAAAAAAGAAGTGAAAGGGTCTTTGGCTCAAAGAAAACAAATAAAAACTCAAAAAGAAGTTGAGACATCATCAAAAGCCTCAACTAAACCAAAAAAATTACTTGTAAATGATAATAAAGAAAAAATACAACATATTTGGAATGGAATTTTTAAAGAACAAGAAAGGAAAACCACTCACCATCGTATAAATCAGAAAGATTTATTAAAACAAACAACTCCAAATATTCACAAAACAGAATCACCACAAAAAAGGTTAAGTGAAGAATTACATCGTATCAAAGAACAAATAGAATATAGAGATTCAGAAGAAGATTCTAGTGAATTTGAAATTATTGACCGTCAGTCTTTACCATCTGCAAAAGTAAAACATCCTCAACACAAAAAATTAAATGAACAAAAATTACAACCTCAAATTATTTTTAATGAAAAACAAAAACCAGTTTCAAGTTTAACAGAAGAAAAGGTGATTCATAGTAGAGAAGGAACATTATTAGATGATGAAGTGGTTGTTCCAACTTTTCCATCACAACCTATCCAACTAAGTCAATCAACATCTATGTTAAATCGTGGATTCGAAAGTGGACAATAAAAAAATCAATTCAATTTGGTTAGATGTAAAATGGTTTATTTTTTTTTATTGTAAATAAATAGCATAATTACTTTATTCCAATTGAATAGCAAAGAATTCACTAACTCTGAAATTTGGATGGTCAATAATTGTTTGACCATTGTCTTCATACTCTCTCTTGAAATTACCAGACAATCTACTTTCTTCATTCTCTCCACAATTTCCACTAATCAAAAAAGCACCAGCAAAACAAAGAATATTCTCTGAATCATCAGGGAATAACCAAGTACTATAAGAATTTATTTCTCTTTTAACAAACTTAATAGGGATATTGTTCTTTATAGTAAATACAAAATGGTCTTTATCTCCAAAAACTCCTCGTGCTATATCATCGACAACAGGAACATCACTACAGTAACCTCCAAATACTTCATTTTTTGTTGTTTTTATAACAAATAATATATTCTTGTAACTTCCAACACATCTATTAAACTCTTCAGCACTAAATCCATCTTCAGTTCCTTTATAAATAACATCAATAACTTTCTTTGTACTAATCTGTTCTATTTGAGACTTTAATTCTTTGTCAAGTAATAATTCCTCTTCTAATTCATCTACTTCTATTTCTTGTTTTTCTTCATCTTTAGTTTGAGTTTCAACAACTTCAGTGATAGGTGATGTCTTTTTTGAAACTTCATTTTCATTTGACTCATCTTTTTTAAATACAATCTCGTTATTAGCATTCGTCTTACATTCTTCATTTTCTTTTTGTATTTTTTCAGGAATTTCATTTTCTTCTTTTTTTTCATCAGTTGGTATTAAAGTATTTTTGTTTTGGTTTTTCATTTCTTCAAGACTCCTAACAACATCTTTTAATATAGAATCTAAAAGAGAATATCGTTGATTCATTTTTTCAAGCTCATCACTTTTTTCTTTTATTTGTTTTTCCATTGTTTCTTTCAATGTTTTGTTCTCTTCTTCTAATTGAATTACCACAATCTCTAACTGTGAAATACGTTGTTTTAAAGAATTAACCTCTGTTTGTGTCTCATTATCTTTTTGATTAATTGTTGTTATTGAGTCAATTAAATATTTATCTGCAACAGCCCTATTGTCCATATACTTTTCAAAAACAAATTGTTTGAGCTCAATGTTATGAATACTTTCCTCCATCTATTTTAACTAGTCCTTTTTTAGTTCATCTCTCAACTATTTTTTACCTTTTTGGATTATTTTTTTTTTAAATTATCTCTTAAATTTTTTATTCTTTTTCACCTTTTAAATTGTTTTTTCTTCTTATGATTTGTATATAGTTTTTCATTTTTACTTTTTGAATTGTGAAATAAAAAAAAAAAAAAAAATAAAAACAGAAAAAAAACTGGAATAAATAACGAGGAAGATTCAAAAAATAAAAATGAAAAGATATAACCCATGTGAATCTCCAGAATTTAATCAAAACATAGATAATGATGATTCTGATCTTCCAGATTTTTTGAGGGAAGATAACTTTCCTGAACAAAGAAATACAGCAAGATTTCAATTACCTCAAAGTATTTTATTAAGTGGAATTTCGATAAAAAATGAACCTTATAATAATTCAGAGTATTCAATGGAACCTCAAAGAAACATTTTAAAAGAAGAGAGATATGAAATTAAAGAAGATGATATACCTCTTCAGATGAATACCATTGCAGATGAAATAACTAATAGACTAGAAAATGTGATTGAAGACAATAAATATCCTGAACCTTTTGGTGAAGTTGTCTGGGAACTTCAAAAATGTGTTACACAAATTAAAGAAAATATGCCTAATATCCAGAAAGTTGATTATCGAAAATTAACTCAAACATTAAACGAAACGTTATATCAATTATTCAAAAGGGTTGTTTCAGATAGTCTTTGTAACAATCGAATTGAATGCAGAGACCTTCAATGTTTTTTTTCATTATCAAAGGATATATCAAGATTTGAAATCTTTAATAGAGAAGAAGTAAACAAATTAAATGATCTTATTGCTAAAATTGAAGATATTACTCCTCAACCACAAGTAAATAATATTACAAACCAACAAGAACTTAGAAGTTATTTAAATGAATCTGGATTAAATACAACTCAAATTTTAATTCAAATTTGTGATCCTAAAGATGTAGGTAGTTTTATTAAAGCTCTTGGAGATCTTAAGATTATTTTTAGTGCATCAAAACATTCAAAAACAAATTATATTTCAATGATTAAAGAATTAAATGGTCTTGACGATGATAATGGAAGAAAATTTGCTACTCCATTTTTCTTACTCAAAAAAGCGTTTGAGTGTTGTGTTATTAAATCTCAATTTAGTTTGTTATCTTTACTGATTTTACAAAATTATATCCTGTTACTAATATTAAATAGAAGCACTAGTTGAAGTCTTGTCTCAGGCTATTCTTAATATGGACTTCTTTACGGATGACCAAAGAGAACAAGTTGATAAAATGTTAAACCAAGCTGATTCCCTTAGAAAAAGTAAACCAGAACTATTAGGAAAAAAACTTCAATTAAAAAAAGATGAAGAAGTAATGAAATTTGGGTATGTAAAAGATTATATTGAACGTCATCCAGAACTTAGTTAAGTAATTGCATTGGTGTTTGACTACTTATTTATTTGAATAAATGTATTGTCTTTACTAATCAATAATAATTAATTTGATTATTCTTTTTATTATAAATTATTAATTTATATTTTACTTATCAAATAAAAAAGAAAAATGTTAGTTGAACATTAAATTTGTTATTCTTAATTAGTTTAGTGGAACGTCTCGTTGTTCTCTTGTCCATCCTGGATGTTCTGAAACTTTTCTGATAATTCTTGCAGGATTGCCAGCAACAACTGTATTATCTGGAACATCATGAGTAACTACAGAAGCAGCACCTACAACTGAATTTTCTCCAATTGTAATTCCTGGAAGAATAGTTGCACCTGCACCAATCCAAGCACCATCTTTAATTACAATAGGTAATCCATATTCAACAAGAGAATTTCTAATAAGTGGATCAGTTGGATGAGTAGCTGAAATGAGTTGGACATTAGGACCAATCAAGACATGATTACCAATTTTAACGTAATTAGCATCTAGTACTGTTAAATTATAATTAATAAATGTATCATGTCCAACAGAAATGTATTTACCATAATCACAACGAAATGGTGGAAGTATACAACTATTTTCTCCAAGACTTCCAACAATATCCTTCAACATTTCTAATCTCTTTTGTGCATTTCTTTCACAATTAAAATCAATAATTTTTTCACAACAAGACTCTCTGTCATGAGCTAACTCTGGGACTGTACTATCATATAACTTTCCATTAAGCATTAAACTTCTTTCATCAAATGTAGGTGTTGCCATCGTTATTTTGAATTTTACAATTTTAGTAATTCTATTTTTTTTTTAAAAAGAGTCAGAATTTTTGTTCTTTCTTCATTATTTTCTTATCAAACAAAATATAATTGATGATTATTACTAAAAACCCAACACAAAATAATAACAATTTATATAAATCTTCTGAATTTTCATTATATTCAACAACATAACAATACCAATTGAAAACAACTTCCTTAGTTTATGAACTAAATCAATTGTTTTCACTAAAACTATTAACGACATACGTCATGATATTGATGAGTTGAGACAAAAAAATAATCGAAAAATAATTGGAAAATGACATATTGTAATTAATTAATCATCACTTTCTTCTTCTTCTTCTTCTTCACTCATTTCTTCTTCTTCATTTTGATTTGTTTGTTGTGGGTTATTGTTCTTTCTAACAGGACGAGGAATTACAGTAAATTTAATTGGATATGCCCATTCGCAATGAAGATATGAGTCACAAATAATATGTAATAATACAACATATGACCCTTCTTCTTTAGGAGAAGGAAGATAAATTTTTGTGATAAATGGCAATTCAGAAATAGGAATATATCCGTGTGTAGCATTAAGAACAAATTGATTTCTTACATCAGTAATAATAAACCACCAACGCTCTAATCTGGTATTAGGACAATATGGGTTATGAACATAAACATCTTTTGGTGGTTCATGAACAATTTCCACATCTGGAATTTCTGGATCAATTTCATCTTCTTCTTTATCAAAATCTTCTTTAGTACTTTTGAGAAGTTCTTCAGCATCATCTGGTTCATCTGGTAATTCTTCTTTTTCTCTATTAAGAATATCATCTAATTTACTCTTCCATTGTGGGACAATTTCACCATTTTCGTTTCTAGGATAACGATATCCATTAATAGTAACAAGAATAGGCACTCCTGCAATTACTTTTCTTGTTCCAGTATTGCTCATTGCTCTAACAATAAATGTGATATTAGTAGGATAATAATTAAAGAAGTTAATAATTTGTTTTCTTCTTTCATTAACTAATTGATTGTCATTAGGCTTAATATTTTCTTCAATACTATTTTCATGTTTCTCAATATTTTCTTGTATCTCTTTTGTTTTATGTTCATCAGTATCTTTAGTATTAAATTTTGGTTTTTTTCCTTCTTTAATGGCTTTTTCATCTAATGCTCTTTTAACTCTTTCTTTCATACTTTCTATATTTCTTTTCTTAACTTCACTTCGTTGTTTTTTTGGTTCAATAACCTTATGTTGTTTTTCTACTTCAATACTATCAATCTTTTCATTAATTAAATTCATTCGCTCTTCTGGAGTCATCTTTGTGATACGTTCAAATGTCATATTCTTTCCAAAGACTTTTCCACCTTCATTAAAGTCTGGTAACTGTAAGAAATCATCATTCTCTCCACATGCTTGAGTAATCATAGCATTTAATCTAATACATTGCCAAATTCCATTTAAATTTTTCTTTCCCATCATTACAGATACCATTCCATGAAGTACAGTTGGAATAACTTCAAGTATAGAATCTAAATCATCTCTAAGATAACTTGGAAGCTCTTCATGTAATCTAGACAAATGTGCTCCAATTAATATTTGTGCTTTAACAGCTTCAGGAACATTATAAGTTGGTTTCTTTATAAATTCTTCTTTTATTTTCTTTTGAATAACTGGTAAAAAGTTTTTATCATTTGGACGAATAACAACCACTTCTCTTACTTCATTTGCCAATGATACAACTTCAATCATTGAAGGGAAATTTAAATTAGAATTGATTAATTGCATAAATATAGCATTAGTTTCAATTGTTAAATTATTATTATCTTTCTTATTGCATTTTTTAACCATTAACCATACACTTACAGGAAAAACAATTACTATGATAATTATATAAAACCCTAATATAAGTTTTCTATTCTTCTCTAAAGTAAGAAAGATTGGAAGTCCTATTCCTTTTGTTTCTATTTTATCATCTTCTTCTCTTCCTGTTTCTTTCCATGCTTTTAGTTTAGATGGATCAGTTAATGTTTCATATGCTTTTGTTACTTGAATAAACATTTCTTCAGCACCTTCTTCTTTATTTTTGTCTGGATGATATTTTAATGATAATTTACGATAAGCACTTCTAATTTCTTTATCAGTTGATGTAGATGAAATACCTAAAATGATATAAGGATCAAAAGTTGGTTGTGGTGCAATAATATTTGATGAATTAATTTTAATTATATTATGAATAAAAACATATGATAAAATACCAATAATGATAAACTATAATATTGTGAGTTATTATAATCCTATGTCTTAATATACTGAATAACAAACTTGAAAGATTGTTGATGAGGTAATTTTGTGATTTTTTATTATCATTCTTTTTCTTTTCTCTTGACATTTAGAACATTGACATGGAAAAGTTGTAGGAATGGTTCTTTGTTTACGCAGATAATATAATGCCCAAATTAATATAATTATTCCAATAAATCCTGTTATGAAAATTAAAAACATTTGATCATCGAATTGAAGCTTCTCTTCAACCATATCAAAGAATTAATTATTTTAAAGTTTTATTATTTTATATTATAATTTGAAATATCATTAAGTTTATTATAATTATCACGCTTTCTTTTCTTCATATCTCTTTTTCAATTATCAATTATAGAATTATTTAACATTAAAATGATATTTTAAATTGTTGGGTTTATACTAAAATCCTTTGTTACTTTAATATTCATTAAAGAATAAAATGGTAGTAGAAAGAAAAAACTTGTTTTTAAAGCAAAAACTAATCTACAATAACAAGAAAAAGATCTTTATTTTGAAAATAATCAAAAAAAAAATCTAAAAATCTAAAGGATGAATAAAAGTGGATTGGAAAATGGACCAGTCTCAGTCTCAAAAAATCTTGTAATCAATTCAAAACGATTATCTGTTAGTGAAACAACACTTCAATATAATCAAAAGAAACAAGCTCAATCAGTTGGTGATTCTGAAATACCACAAGTATTTACTGACTCTCCAAATAGGTCAGAAAACCCAGGATTAATTAATATTAAAAATAAATTAAATAGTATTGATATTGAAGAAGAAGAGCCACCACCTATTAGAAGTCATCAATTAGCATATTCTCATTTTCCACCAAAACCAACAACAAATACATTTGATAGTGATGAATTTAATCCAGTGGAAATAATTTGAACGTTCTTTCCTTTTTAAACTAATCATAAAATCAAATCTGTTTTGTATAATTTTTTCTTTGATAAGTGAGGAAAGATAAAAGTTATTTTAATTCATTTTACTTTTTTACTTTCTTTTTTTTTTTCAATAACATAATTTAAAGAAAGTGTCAAAACAAAAAGATAATACAAAGGAATTTAAACCCTATTTATTCAATAAACTATCAACTACTTGGTTTAATTTGTAAAAACATGACTTCTAATGTCGATGATATGTTTGACTTTCTTCAACCAGAAACTCAAAATAAAGATGAGGCTAAAGAAGAAGAAGAAATTAATGAATATCTAATGAAACGAAGAAAAATTATTGAAGATAAATACAAAGATTTATTACCAAGACCAGAGTCTACACCTATTCTTGAAGCACAATACCAAGGATGTACTCATGAAGTTGCAGTCCCAGATGGACAAGTAGCAACAGAACAAACTCTAAATCCACAATATCCAACAGAACCAGCTAAAACATATCCATTTACATTAGATGATTTTCAAAGACTTTCAGTATCATGTATTGGTCAAAATGAAAGTGTTTTAGTTAGTGCACACACTTCAGCAGGAAAGACTGCAGTTGCAGAATATGCAATTGCTAGTGCATTAAAAAATAATCAAAGAGTAATTTATACATCACCTATTAAAGCATTATCTAATCAAAAATATAGAGACCTTCAAGAGCAATTCACAGATGTTGGATTAATAACTGGAGATATTACTATTAATGAAGAAGCATCATGTCTTGTTATGACAACAGAAATTCTTAGAAATATGTTATATAGAGGGAATGATGTTATGAGAGAAGTAGCATGGGTTATATTTGATGAAGTTCATTATATGAGAGATAAAGAACGAGGAGTTGTTTGGGAAGAATCAATTATTTTATTACCAGATACTGTACATTATGTATTTTTATCTGCAACAATACCAAATGCATTTGAATTTGCAAGTTGGATAGCCAATATTCATAAACAAGCATGTCATGTTGTTTATACAGACTACAGACCAACTCCATTATGTCATTATCTTTTTCCAGCAGGAGGAAATGGAATTTATTTAGTTGTTGATAAAGAATGTAAATTTAGAGAAGAAGGATTTAATAAAGCATTAACTTCACTTGGACTTGATGCAGTTGGGATTAAAACAACATCAAAACAAATGAATAATAAACCTGATGTTATTAAAATTATAACAATGGTTATGAAAAATAATCTTGCACCAGTTATAGTCTTTTCATTTAATAGAAAAGAACTTGAAGTAATGGCAAAAACATGTAATAGAATGGATTTAACTTCAGACGATGAAAAAACTATAATTGCAAAAATCTTTAATAATGCTATTCAATGTTTAAATGCAGAAGATAGGAAATTAGAACAAATAACAGAACTTCTTCCATTATTATTAAAAGGAGTAGGAATGCATCATTCAGGATTATTACCTATAATGAAAGAAACAGTTGAAATATTATTCCAAGAAGGATTAATAAAATGTTTATTTGCAACAGAAACATTTGCTATGGGATTAAATATGCCAGCAAGAACTGTTGTATTTACTAATGTAAAAAAATATGATGGAAAAGAAACGAGATATCTTAGACCAGGAGAGTATATTCAAATGAGTGGAAGAGCTGGAAGAAGAGGAAAAGATGATCAAGGAACAGTTATTTTAATGGTAGATCAAAAAATAGAACCAACAGTATTAAAAAATATGATTTTTGGAAAAGCAGATCCATTAACATCATCATTTTATTTAGGATATAATATGCTTTTAAATTTAATGAAACTAGAAGCAGCAGATCCAGAAGGATTAATTTCTAAATCATTTAGACAATTCCAAACAAATAATAAATTACCTGAATTACAAAAGAAGTTAAAAGAATTAGAAGAAAAAGAAAAAACATATATTTTCACACAAGAAGATATTGTTAAACCATTATATCATCTTAAATTAGCTATTGACCAACATAATGAAAATATTCATGAAGCTATTTATAAAGAATCAGTTTTATTACCATTTTTAGTTGATGGAAGGTTAGTTCATATTGTAGATAAAAATACGTTATTTGATTTTGGTTGGGTACCTGTGTTAGCAGATAGAAAAAGAAAAGTTGGGACAGTTAGTGTTATTGTTTCATTAAAGAAAGGAGCATTACAACCAACTCCAGGAGAATTAGGAAAAGGAGGAAATGCAGGAATTACATCATTTAATATTGATTGTATTTCAGAAGTATCTACATTAAGATTAGGATTACCAGATAATGTTAGAGACAATTTAGACACATTTTTATTTAAAATTAATAATGCAATTAAAAAGAAATATCCAGACTTTAACTTACCTGTATTAGATCCTATTAATGATATGAAAATTAATGATCAAAATGTTATAGAATCAATAAAAAAAATTAAAGAATTAAAAGAAAGATGGAATCAAGTTCAATGGGATGATATTACTAGAAAAGAATTTGATATGTTTGTTGAAAGAGAAAATATTCGAGAAGAAATTAGTGTATTAAGGTCTACTGTTGTTCAATCAAAAGATGTTATATTAAAAGATGAATTAAGAGGAATGAGAAGAGTATTAAAAAGATTAGGATATGTTAGTGAAGATGATATCATTCAAACTAAAGGAAGAGTTGCTGCTGAACTTTCTGCTGGAAATGAATTATTATTAACAGAATTATTATTTAGTGGAGTATTTAGTACATTAAATGCAAAACAAGCAACTGCTTTATTAGGATGTTTTGTATTAGATGAAAAACCAAAAGAACAAGTTCAACCTCCAAAAGATTTAGAAGAAAGTTTTGCTCTTATTATTACTAATGCCACACGTATTGCAAATATTATGGCAGATTGTCGATTGAATATTAATGTTAATAAGTATATTGAACAATTCAGACCAACAATGTTACCAATTGTTGAGTCATGGTGTGATGGAATGACTTTTGCTCAACTAATTCAAGGAAGTGATTTATTTGAAGGAAGTATTATTCGTGGAATGAGAAGATTAGAAGAACTTTTAGTTCAAATGACTGATGCAAGTAAATTTATGGGAAATCCAGACTTAGCAAAGAAGTTTGAAGAAGGGGTTACATTGATTAAGAGAGATATTATTTTTGCTGCTTCTCTTTATATTTGATTGATTGAGTTTTTAATTGTATTTTTGATTCTTTTTGAACATCATGAAGAACTATCATATTGTGAAGAGAATTGATAATGTAAAATAATATCAAAAAAGCAGAAGACTGAATAAAATGAAAAGAGAACAATACAAATTACTTTATATAAAAGAGATAAAAGAAGAATGAAACAAAAAAAAGTAGAAGATGTTTCAGTCTTGTTTATTAGTTTAATTGAACTATGGATGATAATTATCTGATGACAAAAGTAATCAAACAAATGAAAATTATATTGGTTCAATAAAAGCATAACTCAGTGTTTAAGTACCTTTATTTCCTGAATTATTTTATTCATTATATGACAAACATTAACATACAAATTAATAGCACATATTCATTATCAAGAATGGATCTTTTGTAAATGTTACTTAACAACAATATATATGCTCATGGTTTTACATATTGTTTATTTCATTTATTATTCTTTTTATCATTACGTCAAATTGGTTAAGACTATAATTACAATACTTTGACTTAATAGTCGTGAACAGTCATTTTTAATACTGTACTGATAATAAAAATTATGAGAATTAGATATGTTAATAAGTAGAACTTATGAATAATGAGAAATGGTTATTTTAGTGTATTCAATATGTTTTTATAAATATTGCACTAGTTGTTTCTAACTTAGGTATATTAGAATATCAATATTTTAATTTGTTATTACAAATAATTTGTAGTTTATTATGCAAGATATGCATTTTCATTGATTTTCATTGTTTTATTGAATTACATGTTAATTAATTGAGGTAATATCTTGTCATTAATTCAAAAACAAGTCATTGTTTATTTTATATTAACCCCTATCCATTTCATATTCAATTTATTTTTTATTAATAAGCATAAAACATTTAATACAAAATATTACTTTCATCTTTTGATAGTCAATACCTTCATTATAAAATGAATAACAATTACAATTAAATCATTATAAGATACTAATTATACTTATTAAATTATAAACTTTCACAATACATACTAAACATTCTTTATTAGTGATTGTATAATGTATTAAATTCTTATTTATGAATCTATTAACTTGTTCATTACTTTATTTTTCTTTCCTATTTTGTTATTAGTTTCATCATAACATTGTATTATATGACTAATATGATTAGAAATTAAATATTTGATGCGAT